ATCTCTTCTGAGTGACCCGGGACCAGATCCATATGATTCTGTCTGCAGTATCTCAGAGCTTCAGACCACGTCCGATTCTCTCTGATCACAATCAGTTTATCTGGAAACCAAACAAAGCACAAGCAGAAACTAAAGAGAGACTGATCAAAAACAACATGCAGAACAAACACTGTGGATGAATTTGTCATCTCAGAGATGTAGCGTCAACTTTAAGAGATCTGGAGGTGATGATGGATTGTGTGTGTTTAGTGAAGATCTACTCACCTTCATGACACACAAAAGAATATGGTTTGGTGCAAGAGATGTCATGCCATTTTCCCTGAGCATTCGGTTCAACAGCTGTACAGTCTTCACCACGTCCATAATTATTAGGTTCACCAGACTTCCAGTATCTGAATGAGGAGTCACTCTGATCTGACCACTGCCATGAGTCTCTGACTCTGAACAGACCGATCCAGACTTGTGATCCAGATGAGTGATTATCTTTTATGATCTTCTCAACCTGTTGATTCTCATTCTGGTTTCTTACACTGACCAGATCAGTGTGTTTCTGTCTGCAGTAACTCTGAGCGTCTCTCCAGTTCATCGTCTGATTGACAAAGACGAGTCGTGTGTTTGCTTTAAGAAAAAAAAAAAAAAAAGAAGAGAAGATTCATGAATCAGTTTGTTCGTTAGTATGGTTTGGATGTGAACAGGAGCAGCGGTGGGAACATCAGAAACATGTCATTCAACTTGAGCTGCTTCTACAGCTGGTGATATATTGAATATTCATAATATATTCAGGATTATTTTAAAGATGTAACATATTTAACATGAAGTAACATCTGGGAACATCATGCTTATTCGAAAGCTCTTTCTGTTTGTCCATTATGTTTCCTTATATGTCTCTCTAGAACACTGGATTCAGACACAAAGAGTCGGATGAGAGAATTGTCAAACAGAGGACATTGTTACACTACAGCTAAAATGTTGGCTAGTTAAATGTTCATCTACAAATTAATGGTTGTTGTGATTTTAAATAGCGGCACTCACTGTTGTTGCAGATGAAATGTCGGGCATCACTACATGGCAAATCCTCAAATGTTCCATTGAACATCATAGCACAATCATCTCTGCCTTCTGGTTGTTTATCTCCCCAGTTCAGATAGAGCGCAGCTTCACCTGAAGGCCACTGCCATTCATCACGACCTGTCTTCTGCAGCCCGATCCAGACAAACTGAGCACCTCCAGCATTCACACTCTTGTTCAGCTCGTTCATGTCGTTCATGTTGTCAACGGTGGCCAGATCTGTGTAATTATCTCTGCAGTATCTCTGAGCTTCAGTCCAGTTCTTCCTCTCATTTATAAAGTGATACTGACGCTGAACACATTCAGATACGGAGCAGAGAGCTGTGAAAGAGAGGCTTTGCTTTAATGCTTTTCATAACAGGAGCAAACCTAATGACACTATAAACCATAAATAAAACCACAAACACACTCACCAATGAGAAGAAGAGTGAAAAATAGAGTTTGGTCCATTTCTGAAGAGAAAAGATATAGAAAAACTCAAATGTTAAATATTCACCGATTCATTTTGGTGTAAAACATGATTTCAGTGACAATTAAAACTACATCTTAACGGGAACATAAATTCACTGTACACAAGTATTAAGACAATATTAATATCTCAAAGTGTAATTCTAGGTAAAGAATGAGCATACAAGTGCTTATTCGAAAGCTCTTTCTGTTTGTCCATTATGTTTCCTTATATGTCTCTCTAGAACACTGGATTCAGACACAAAGAGTCGGATGAGAGAATTGTCAAACAGAGGACATTGTTACACTACAGCTAAAATGTTGGCTAGTTAAATGTTCATCTACAAATTAATGGTTGTTGTGATTTTAAATAGCGGCACTCACTGTTGTTGCAGATGAAATGTCGGGCATCACTACATGGCAAATCCTCAAATGTTCCATTGAACATCATAGCACAATCATCTCTGCCTTCTGGTTGTTTATCTCCCCAGTTCAGATAGAGCGCAGCTTCACCTGAAGGCCACTGCCATTCATCACGACCTGTCTTCTGCAGCCCGATCCAGACAAACTGAGCACCTCCAGCATTCACACTCTTGTTCAGCTCGTTCATGTCGTTCATGTTGTCAACGGTGGCCAGATCTGTGTAATTATCTCTGCAGTATCTCTGAGCTTCAGTCCAGTTCTTCCTCTCATTTATAAAGTGATACTGACGCTGAACACATTCAGATACGGAGCAGAGAGCTGTGAAAGAGAGGCTTTGCTTTAATGCTTTTCATAACAGGAGCAAACCTAATGACACTATAAACCATAAATAAAACCACAAACACACTCACCAATGAGAAGAAGAGTGAAAAATAGAGTTTGGTCCATTTCTGAAGAGAAAAGATATAGAAAAACTCAAATGTTAAATATTCACCGATTCATTTTGGTGTAAAACATGATTTCAGTGACAATTAAAACTACATCTTAACGGGAACATAAATTCACTGTACACAAGTATTAAGACAATATTAATATCTCAAAGTGTAATTCTAGGTAAAGAATGAGCATACAAGTTATTCTTACTTTAGCGGTCGTGTGTCTCTGTCCTGAGTCTGATGTTTCTGTCTGCAGCTTCAGACTGTGTGATTAATATATCTGCTCTCATTCAGCATCACATCATTTGTTTATTAGGCTACTCTAAACAAATGTGTCTTCCTCATTCACGGTTTTCTTTTTTTGTCTTTTATGTGTTGGTCTTTGTAGGTGTAATTCTCTGGAAGTGTGTTCATTTGAATGTGGAGAGTCTGTCTTTGCTGTAATGAAGTATTGTGTTTCCACAGCGGCTTCACGGGAGAAATCCATCTCAACATTTGTATTTTTGTTTTCCATTTTCTTTCAGCTTTGATACTGTCAGTGACCAACAGCATGTTTCTGCATCCCAAACTAAACAATATTTTCACAAACTTTGAACATATTCTGTATCACCATAAGTATCTGTTGTGTGCACATGCAAATAAAAGACAACAACAACACACAACTCTTAATTTATGGAAATCATAGGCACAGACAACTCCACGTTATATTTCACTTGTGTGCAGGTGCACTGTTGCTCTCTTCATATAATTTAAATTTATATAACAGTCAATTTCATTCGCTGGTGTTACAAATCATGCTTGCATTTGATTTAAATGCTACTTTAACCACTTTCTCTCGTTTACCTTATTCTCTTTAATCTTTTTCTCTCATTTTTTTCTCTCCATTGATTAGCATGCATATGAGGACATCCAGGCCTGCAATGACTGACTAGACAAGGGGTCAAACCAGATAAAAAGGTTCCTATTTAATACTAAAATTCACGTTCACATACACTTAAGCCATTTTTACACTGCAAGAACAGCAGAAGCTACATAATATAGCCCAAAAAGGTGCATATTGTGTAAATGTATTTGCATATGTGTTAAAGAGCAGGAAACTATTTAAAGCATCTCTGATACAGTTGCATTTACATTAGCCAATCAGTGGTGACATGATGTAATTTTCCTGCAGCTCTAGTCAGTTTTTTTTTTTTTTTTGCCTAGTCCTACTTGCCTCATCATTAATAATTGTTATAGGATGTTTGTTCAATAGACAGCTGTTGGTAAGTGCGCACAATCAGCTGTTAACATTGATCATTTTGTTCACCCTGACAAATCTTTATGTAAGTGTCAGAACAATCCCGGAAAGTCATTGTAATATTAGAATACACTAATAAATATTCATAAAAATGACATTTCAACCGCTCTTTCAGCTCTTCAGACTGTCAGGCAGCTGTAAAGCGCATGCAGCGAGATCTGCGTAAGGTCGTGGCATTGCTCCCAGTTTGTCCCAGCACTTTGTCTGTGGATCATAACGGTGCACCCATGGTGTATCACGGGCAGAATTGGCCGAAGACCCTCCCAAAACATACAGCTGACCGTCAAGAGCGGCCGCCGCGGGTGAGAGGTGCGGTCGGGGCAGCATGGGGAAAGACGTCCAGGAGTCGTGAACGGGATCGTACGACTCACACTGCAGCTGGTCTCCAAACCCCGCCCACACCGGCTGCAACCCCCCGGCCACGACCAATCGCTGTCCCGAAACCAGCATCACGTGACCTGCCCGTCCCGCTCCTGCTGCCATGGGTGATCGTTCTGAGCAGCCGTGCACCGGGTCGTAGATCCACAGACACGGACAGCAGCGCAAACGAGAGTCGCAACCACCAGACACAAACATCTCTCCGTTCAACACGGCAGCGGCGTGACCGCAGAGAGCATTGTCCAGAGGATGACACAGCCTGTGATAGCAGCAGGAGGAAAAGACACATTTATATTTAATGGACATGACTTGAACTGCTTAGTTTGTTGTTAGAATGACAAAACGTTTCGTTAAAAGATTAAAAGTTACAAAATGCATGTTATTTTCAAATTCGAGAACTTCTTCAGAGAACTCTTCAAACTTCTCAGGGGAGCCAAATTACCTCAGTGTCAGAGTACAAATATCTTGGTATTATTATTGACAACAAGCTACGTTTTGGTTCACATATTTGAGAAAAAAATAAATAAATAAATAAAGAAGTTGGGGTTTACTTTAGAAATACGTCATGTTTTTCATTCAATGTGAGGAAAAAACGTTACGTTACGTTACGTGTCCGTTACGTTTTGACCGGTTCTCGATTACGGGGATGTAGTTTATCAGCATGCCCCTTCTCTCCTCCTTGGATGCTTTGTACCATGGTGCTCTGAGATTTATAACTGATTGTACAGTAAATTTTTAACTCATCATTGTGAATTATATAAAAGAGTTGCATGGCCTTCTTTGAGTGTTTGGTGAAAAATGCATTGCCATCTGTTGAGATATTATAAGGCAATTTTGGGTCATTTGCCATTTTATCTCTGTTGTGTCATACAAAGGACTTCATTTGGAAATTATTCATTACATCTCAATCAAATTATAATCTTTGTGTGCCCTTGTCAGAACTGAACTCGGTAAAACCTCTTTTAAATATGCCACCACTTCAGATTGGAATCTTCTCCAAAAGGAGTCTTATAATTATTTTAAGTCTTTAACTTAGAGAGCAACTTAATGGTGTGTAATTGTTTTTAACTGGTTATATGTTTGTTTTGTAATGTATGTTATAACTGTGTTGTTCATTTGTATATGCAAACTCGGCTGCCTATCTTGGCCAGGACACTCCTGGAAAAGAGATTTTAATCTCAGGGGCCATTTACACAACATTTTCAGCGAGAAACGAGAACCTTTTTATGCGTTTTGCCTGTTCATTTACATGACAATGGACTGAAAACGCATAATTTTGAAAACGGGTTTCAAAGTGCAAGTTTTTGAAAACGCCACCACAATGGCTGAGTACATGGTAGTGAGTTTGCTAACGCTTCTTCAGCAAAGTTTTACTAACAAGGTGACATCGCCATTTACTGGCCTGGCATACGTAATACAGCGTTTTTGGTATTTGATATGTGTAAACGTGAATCGTTTTGAAACCGTTGTCGTGTATATGTGAAACTTTTTTAAAAATGCAAGGGAAAAACTTTTCCATTTTTTAGGATAGTCTTCCTCACTTGTCAGAATGAGCCAGTAAAATAAAAAAAGACGGACTTTACTTTTCACAGAAGCCGAGCGTGAATTCCAGCGCCACACTCTTAATAGTGAAAGAGGTAAGAGGTAATTCACCCATGCTCAAGGTAAGATAGTGAAACAATGTTGCAATTTCAACGGTGAAATAACGTCACAATATCAACGTTGATTCAGTTTGCAAAACCAAAACATGATTCAACTTCGATTCAACCATGGTACCTGATGTTGGTTCAATGTTAAAAAGCCGGCTGGGTATATTTAATGTGATATTGTTGTGGAATTATACCATTTTTAATGAAAAATATAGGTTACCATTTACGTGATTCATAATGTGAGAGACCCAACATTATGAAGCCGTTTTTGACATGATTAAGAGTGTGAATATTTCAAAATAAAAAGACATTTTTAATTTCCTTTCATCTATTTATTAAATCTAGTTAAATTATTTATTTCTTTTAAATAAAAAGGTCCATTATATCGGTCAAAAAGTGCTTTGTTCCCCTCCAAATTTCAAGCACGTTTATGGCTTTGTGATTCTCTACACTTGTGGTTCCTCTGCTAGAAAACCTGTGTGAACTTGAGGAGAAGAGACAAATGGCCGGAAGTTACCAAATCACCAACTGATGAACACATTGAAACTTCAAACATTATGAAGAATTGTAAGGTCAAGAGAAAATATCCTGCAGTATTTGAACTTGCAGATACATGTGCATTGATATTTTGTTGTGTATACCAGGGGTTTTCAACCCTATTGTTACGGGGCTGACGAGACGTGAGACTTGCGGATCCATTCGCAGAGCTTTATTAGACAAAGGCAGAGACGTGGTCATACAGCAGGCATGGGTCAGATGAGAGCAAACAGGTATATGGTGGGCAAAACACAAGAATAGTCCTAGGGCTAGCACAGGTCGACGATCGGCAGACAGAATCAAAAGGGGCAAGACAAAAGGGGTGAATCCAGGGAACCAGGCGAAGATCAGAAACCGGGAAGGCTAAGGCTAAGGCAAATGACTAAGGCTAAGGCTAATGACTAGGACTAGGGCTAAGGCTAGGGCTAAGGCTAAGGCTAAGGCAAATGGCTAAGGCAATGACAAGGGCTCCGTAAGGTAGCTATCTCTAGGAGAGTGATAAACTGTGACTTGATCTGCCCCATGACGATCAGCTGTGACTTGACTAGACCCGTGATGATCAGCTGTGACTTGACTAGACCCGTGATGATCAGCTGTGACTTGACTAGACCCGTGATGATCAGCTGTGACTTGACTAGACCCGTGATGATCAGCTGTGACTTGACTAGACCCGTGATGATCAGCTGTGACTTGACTAGACCCGTGATGATCAGCTGTGACTTGACTAGACCCGTGATCATAAACTGTGACTTGATTTGCCCCATGACAATCAACTGTGACTTGACTAGAATCATAACTATTAGCTGTGACTTGACCAGACCCATGATCAGAAACTGTAACTTGGCCTGACTCGTGAAGATCAGCTGTGGCTTGACTTGACCCATGACGATCAACTGTGACTTGACCTGACTCATAACGATCAGCTGTGACTTGACTTGACTCATGATAATGAATTGTGACTTG